CCAGGTGTGTATGTTTCCTTGTTATCTTGTCAATGTGTGAAGTATCGCTTCATCAGTCACGACCTTGTTGTACCTACTCCGGCACCATCGACCCCTCCGCAAATTTATTAACGAGTTCATTCATCAGGGGTTCCTAACGAGCAATACTGTATCAATCAGGGCGCGTGAACGGCAATGTCCTGTAGGCGTTAACAACATCACTGATTAAACACCAGAGTACGCAAAACACTCCGCATCCAGGCAACCATCCATCAAATTAAGCCTCAAATCTCATCCGGAGGACTGACTGACGTATTCCAACTTCAGCAGATTGTATGGAAGCATTTCGACCTCAGGGCTCGAAATACTGAGGTAGAAGAAAAGGCAGTAAATGTCAATATCAGTTTTCCTCATCCAGAATATTGTCGCTTTGCCTTACTGAAATTGCATGGGTTACCTATAAGAAAGCAGTCAGGGCGTGTCTGTTGAATGTTAGAGTAATGCAGGCTTGCAGAGAAAAGTAATTCGTGCCCTGGACTTAAAAAGCAGTACAGGTAAAATTTGTCTGGTGCAGGTAACATATTGATTTTGCTCAGTTTCTTCTTCTTCTCCAAACGGTGACCTCTGACCTGGCCAATGATCTGATTTGTTGATGTCTACTACCATGGTAACTGTTGCAATTTCATATTAGAAGGGATTTAGACTCCTGTCACCATATATGTGAATGTGTTTTGAGTAAGAATTAACAGAGAAGATAGTATGCGAAGGTAAACATTATGCATTTGCTTTGCAAATGTTACTGTTCTAGTTGTGATTGATACAGCTGCAGTGTAGGTATGCAGAGAAACGTATTTCGAGCCCTGGACCTGATTCTTGCAATTTGTAGCCAGATAATGGCACCGCGTGATGCACGCCACCCTGTGGAGAGGTATATTCAGTTCGAATAAGGGTTCAGATGCATCACTGTAAACATATCCTCCGGGTTTCAACAATGTTTCCCAGTCATGCATCATCGTGCAGCCATTAGTTGGAGAAATTGTAGCTCTAGGAGCTAATACACTCAGCTTTTATTACCAGGTCATGAACATCGAATTGCCACAACCTCTTTTAGGGATGACGAATAACATGTCCACAGGGATGCTTAGTTGAAAGTATTTTTTGTTCTTGCGCGCCTTTGTAATAATGTTAACTTTATTGCAAACATATATTAAAAAAATGCAAATTATGACTACTCTAATAAAGATTATATGTAGTGTAGACTTATTCTATACAAGATTTGTGCGCGACTATATGTACGCTAAAAATCTGGCAAAACTCTGAAAAGCTTAGAATTTTCAAATGCATACAAGAAATGGCAGTAAATGTTAATATCAGACAGTTTTCATGATCCAGAATATTTTCGTTTTGCCACCTTTGTTTTGTTTTGAAATTGCATGGGTCCCCTTAAAAAAGCAGTCAGGGCGTTTTCCATATGCGTATAGCTAAGGTAAGACAGAAATAGTGACGTTTCTGTCTTTATTGCTGATGGTTGTCTTTGACAAACATGTACATATCATATCCTTTTGATTTCCCCTGGTACACAAGGCAGAAAATAGGATGCCTCTTAAAGCTTGATTCTATAACCACATTAGCTATAACAATATTGTCCCCCATGAAATGGACAGTATGGCAGTGAAAAGCCGTCATCACGTCAACGTCTGTTAGCTCTTGCTGTTTTTAGATGTTTTTCATTATTTATTTATTTATTGAAAAATGCAACAAGACATTACACTGACTCTCAAGGCAGCAAAGCTGATATTAGAGAGTCAACATATAAGGACAAAACACACAAGGCACATAATTTCAAATTCAATATGTGAAATACAAGAACAATCATAAAGACTTAAGACATAATGTTTTTCATTACATGACCTCTTTTACAGCTGACGACTGCTGTTTTCCCTTGCACGATAAAGATGGAAATTGCAAAAGGAGATTGCAACCGGGTTATGTTGCATCTTGGCAAATGGAGCTCATTGTTCATCAGAGATTTTGACCCCTCCTAGATAGTCATAATTTCTTTAACACCATGGTTTCATGGAGGTATGAGATCTCCGAACTCTTGTTGAATTTGTTTATCTAGATACTATTAGTATTTGAGGTAAATTACTTTGCATCAATTGGCTTATTCCCATCGTAGCCACAGCTTCTAGGTCAACATACATTGGCCATGTATTGATCCAAGCACCGCTGCCAAACGATTTCTACAGAAATCAAGGACAGACCGGTAGATGCTTGGATCGTAAGCTGATTTTCAGATAAACATCAGAAGCTTCTTGCAATAACTAAGAGGCAGGACTCCATTTGGCCAAAGCCCAAGTGGGTGCCGATTATAGTGCTTGATAAATTAAGCTTGCTGACCGTAAGTATGGGACGTAACGACCCAACGGTAAAGTCCCGCATGCCTTTACGTAAGCTTGAAGGATGGTGAAAGGTCTCTATCGAGGGCAAGGGGAGATACCAATTATGAATTATTGTGTTGCAAGTTTGGGTCGTTATTTTGAGGTACGGAAAAGGGTGGGTACTGTCGGCAGGGAAAAAATTATGACAAGCATTATTTTACCAGGTTACTGCACAGATCGACGGTTATTCTACATAAAAATCATTAGTGTTGATCAATGATTTGCTTAGCTATAACACGCCTACATAGAAGTATTAAAATGGGGGTATATCTAAGTGCAAATTTATTGCTTATGTATAGCAGCATAGTGTTTTTGCTATCCTCACCCATACGCACACGCAGAAAAAGAAAAATATCGGTGTTAGTAGGGATCATGTACTGCAAGTTGGAGCCTTTTCTGTATTCAACAAGTGCGGCGCTCCCCTCCTACGTGTAAGGCCGTACAAACGGCGAGTACACGACCTTTTCCGTAGCCTGGGGAGCCCGGGAATAAATGGGCGCACTTACAGTGGACCTCCACGTGCCTGCTGGCCGCCACAATCCGCTCCAAGTGCCCGGTGACGCAGGTGTAGTTGCCCGAGTCCGACTTGGTCAAGTTCCGTAAGCTCAGCACGGATTCGTACGAGTCTTTGCCCGGATATGTCGTGGCTTCGTGGTGCTGATCCACCGGTCCGCCATCTTTCTCCCAGCGGATGTACTTCACCATAGGTCTGGCGTGAGACACCCTGGAAAAATACAACAGACGGATTTAAGAATTTGATTTTTTTTACTTCGAGCTTTCCTAGACTGATTTCTAGTTTGTATCTTGATGGAAATCGTATCTGATCAACTTTTTTCACCAGCCCTTAATTCTGTATCAGAGAAACACGTGCAATGATGATCTTGTAAAGGTGCATAGAGCAGTGAGAACTATTCGGTGCCTTAGTTCAGAAAGTGAACATAGTTACATATATATACGTATATACACGAAAACACACACACGCACGTACACACGCACACACACACACGCACACACACACACACACACACACACACACGGATACACTTACAGTTACACACACACACACACACACACACACACACACACACACACACACACACACACACACACATACAGATCTTTCTCTGTATTATCATCTCGCCATTTTGTAAATACCGTAATCTCCCATTGTCAGTCATGTATTAGTCGTACGGCTTATTCTTACGTCGAGTGCGGACTCGATCAATATCATAAAGCCAAAATAAAATGGGAAATCTTTTCCTTAATGGACAAGTGGCGCCAGCCACAGTTTCCGGCATAACAAAATCATACGACACGTCACATGACGTCGTCACTTCCTATTAGCGGTAACGTTAGCGTGTTAGGATCCACATCTACATTTGTCACCACTTTGTTGGATTAAGGATAATCCTACATTACGGGACTATACCGACAACTCGCCGCTGCCTCTGAGCTATACATCGCTGAGACAACGCCTGCGAGTGTGTGGTAATGTGTAGATCTATAGAGAGGATCCATATAAAAGCCTGTGGACATTACCTTTAGGGAAAATTCCATTTACACAAACGTCGTTTGGGTATTATAGCCCCCCTCCTTCCACAGGGCAAAGGAACATTTTAAAACAAACTAAAACAGCAGTGAGGCATAGAGTAGATTTAGTATGACCTTGTAGCACGGCGAATGACAATTACTGGATCCAGGCCCTTGTTCATAAAAAACGGGGCTGTGATAGTGGCAGATATTGCCGCCCAGACTGCATATGATGTCATCAATTATTATAACGACCGTTAAGCGATGAGAGCTGGTGATGCGCCCCATTTGCAGCCTCGCTGGTCGCGGACAATTTTTGCAGCTTCTCCGTCGCAAAGCGTTACCATCTGCCCCTAGAGACTAGTGTTCGGGCCAGTCTGAATCTTTTCCTTATGCCAATTTTCAATTTTGTTTATAGAATAAAAAAAAACAGGTTAAAAAATAGAGCTTAATGAACGAAAACATCATGTCGAGCGCCGAATGAATTGTTAAAATCTTCACCCTCTGAAATACTATTTCCTGCATTTTGAGGGGCAAATTTTGCTGGTAGACTAACCTTAGCTTGAAGACATCTCTTTACAATTTATCTTAACACACCAATTTTTATCCGTCAAAACTAAAGCCTAGATCAAAATTTTTGTCCGTCCTGGGGACTATAATGGAAATAGACCAAGATACAAAAACAAATATCACCTTTAAAATTCTTTTTTTAAATTGAAATATGGAGAAAAAAATTATAATATTAAAAATATGGATGTTCTTAACATGGACTTTCAATAGCAGTATCTACATTTTACTGCTGTTTCTTTAACGCGTTATAGAAATATTGCTTCTATCGCTTAATGTCCTGAAAAACTTCGTTGTGATGTATTTTGCAATTGTGTTGCTGCCGCAATTGAGAACAGTTCTTTTTTGCCTCGATATAGGATTTTATGGAGACGAATGAAGCAGAGTTCAGCTGTTTCATGAAAAAAGGGGTTGCAGACCGTTGTTCGAGGTGACGTGAGTTATGACTCCTGTCCACCGACATACTATTGGCTTTGCCACGCTTCATGCGTTTCACGTAGTTTTCCGTTTATACTATCATGAATGTTTCACTCCCGCAATCTTCTCACATCAGCACTGGACGTAAAATACCCGCTATACAGCTCACGAGATACGTGTATTTGCCGTCATCCTTCAAACCGTGCTACGTTTTATTGGGCAATTTAAAGAAAAATTCCTCCCCGTTTTTATTATATCCTTATGGGCGAGTTTCTTGGTGTTTATTGCGTGCCGTGGACGTGAACAGGCACAAATTGGTACATTAGGTCGGATTGCAATCCCCCAACGCGCAACAGATGATAGATGTAGCCTTGGTCTTGATGAAAATGGACCATCTGCCGAAAATGTTCACATGTGCAAATTTGCAGTGATTGATTAAACAACACGTTTGACTGCTTGCCAGAAAATAAAGATTAAGATGCTTTTTAGATACGCAGCGGGAAAAGTGCCTATGACGCGCTTCTAGTGTTAGATTATATTTTTTCAAGACACAAATGAAATATGCAGTATATGTTTCTTTTTTGAAATATATATTTTTATATTAAATAAATATCTATACATCGTAAAAATTATAAGGTTTAATTGATAAAATACAGATTTTCTGTAGAAATTTTAAGTCAAGTGACCTGAGCCATTGGTACATGGTAGATGAAGCCTTGGTCATGATGAAAACGGACCATCTGCTGAAAATGTTCCCATGTGCAAATTTGAAGTGATTGATCAAACAACACGTCCGACTACTTGACTGAAAAAGACTATGAAGATGCTTTTTAGATACGCAGTGGGAAAAGTGCCTGAGACGAGCTTCTAGCGATAAACTACAGCTATTTATTGTCTGTCAAAACACAAATTTAATAGTATTTAGGTGTTTTTTTTCTGGTGTCAGACGGGCCAGGAAGAGTTGATGATACCAATGGTTTCAATTGCACGCATGTGATGTGTACTATTCTATTGCGTCCTTTTTGCTGAAAATGCACGATACGTATCACACGTATGGCCTAGTGTCATAAGATGCGCACTCTGCATAACCTTTTTACTTTGCCAGAAATAGTTTAAAACCCCGGAAAGTTTTCTTTCACTTCCAAACAAAATGTTTTATACGATAGACTCCCCACAGAATAGTTTAGTCATATGCTTTGTCATCTCCAACACCCTCTGTGATGCTCAAAGCAACAGGTATTGGTCACGACACCAATCCCGTTCCGACCTTGGATATATCGTATCGAATGCTAAACGCAGCTCCCATGAACAAAAACGCTGTTCAGGCATGCTACACCAGATCTAACCATAGATAAAGCCGTCCGATGGCACGTCGAAAGTGCTCCTCACCACAACTCATAAAAATTTAAAAGCTAAAAAAACACAGCGCCGGTTCCCACGCCATATGCCCCATGTCACATTTCCAATTTGGCTAGGGTACCGACGACAATATGTTACAGAGCTAGGAGTCAATCTTTCCCAGCTTTAACGACAAGCTTTACAACCCAACGGTACAGTGCTGGTTCGTGTCAAATTACTGCAATACCTTTATGTTCCATTTCCCTGTAGGGTTTATACCGTCCATAACGTTATACGGCACTTCCTGCTGGACCACGTAATGCTGACTAATATAACCTTTACGATGGCAAAAAGTGACAGGGTGAGCAAAAACAGACCATGACTATGGTGAAATGTACCGTACCATGTGGCTTCGATTGAATGGTGATGTCTCATGAGCAGAATCTAAAGCCCCTGTCACACCTGGCCTCTCGACCTTTGGGTTGGGATTCAGTCGTGAACTAGGCCATCTGTGGTTGTGAGTTGGTCGGCGAGGTTGGCTA